TTTCGTTCTATCGATTCGCAAAACTATCACTGTGCTTTGATAAACGTGTTACTGAAAATTCGACTTGAATTCGAAAAGATTCTTCGAATTAATTTAGTTCACTTTCGAAGGAAACCAAGAAACCTTATTAACAATCTTTACGATAATTTTTCTTTTTAAAGTACGCATTTTAAAGTAAGTGATAAATAACATTAATTATTATCGTTGTAAAGATTCAATATAATGTTTCTTCGTTTCGTTGTTCAATCTGTTGAAAATTCTACGAAATGCTCAATTATTAAGATGAATCGAAGAATTGAAAATGGTTCATACGAATTTCCAGCCACTTGAGTATGCTATATTTAAAAAAAGAAACATCCTTGACTTCCTCGAGATATTCCTTTCGGTACAAAGAACGTAATTATCAAGTTTTCGACGAGAAAATTCGAAACCCCCGAGACTCATATCGTCGGAGAATGTGATAAACGATCGCAATCGATCGAGTACCTTGTGTAAAGAAGCGATTTAGAAACGATTAAGGACACATGAACCCCCACCCTAGCTCCTTCACGTTATCCCCACCACCCGAGCCCTTTGTATTTATATATGTATGAACGCGAACGGAAAGCAACGTTCAGTTTATTCACCTAAGTTTGCGAGGATTACTTTTAGTATTTATTCGTAATGTATAATATTATATTTAATTGTTACTCGTTACCATTGCCGTTATAATTATTATAATTGTTCATAACGATCGGCATCGGTTGCCGACGTTCATGCGACTGGTCATTAAGACTAGAAACGAAACGAAGAAATGCCACGCGTAGTTGGTGTCGCGAGACGTAACAAAATATAGGTGCAAGAACAACAGCAACATTCACCAACGACGCGTCGCATACTTCGCGTTATACTGTAAGACATTTTGCGAATTAAATTATTGCAAATTATACATGTTTGTGTTTGTCTCCATGAATTTTACACCTTTTCTCTATTTTTCCCTTTTTCATACTATTTCAGCTTAATATCGAATATGTGTAGCAAAAATTCATTCCCAAAGTATAATGTTAAATTGTACTTCGAAACTTACCTCTCTCGATTTGAAGTACAGAATGGCGATAATTCAACGACTTTTTCTTCACGTTTTTCCGTATGAAATCACTGCACACTTATTACAGTTTTTATAACAGTTAATGCACAATAAATTATTATTATATTTTACATATTATTATAATGTAAAATAACTTATATAGATGAAAGACTTAAGTAAATTAAAAAATAATATAACGACGCGCACGTATTTCGAATTACGCTTTCGAACGAACTAAAAGTGCAAAAACCGGAAACAACCCTTCTTTATCGATAGTTCAATAGGTAATCGAGATATCTCGAAATAACACGATCGAACGTATAAGATGGCGGCCCATTAAAGAGTTCATATATGCGTGTAGTTGTTTTGTGCAGTGATTCTGTAGTTTTTTTCTTATCAATAATTTACATACAATAATCATGGGGTAAGTTGTAAATTTCAATGAATGTCATTACGCAAACCAAAAAACTTTCGATTTAGATATATAAAGGAATGTATAAGGTAGTCTGTTTACATCGTATATACTTACATGGTCTTCTGTTTATTTTCGGATCAAATCTTGCGTGTTTTTTTACATATTTTTCGTATTTTTTGTATTATATTGAACATCTGAATGAATTTATCAAAAAATATTTTTTCTTAGACTACGATCTTCAATGGAGATCTATCAAAAAAATAACCTAGTTTTTGTACCTTATTACTTTCGTATTTCGCAATAGACTTCGTTTAATATTACTCGATTGGAATTAGGTAAATGTTATGCGAAAATAGCGTTAATCTAGTTTTTAAAATAGTTCTATTAATTTATCCACTATATAATTACACATGTTTAATTATTTAATGTGCGAAGCATTTTATTAAGTAGAGTTTCCTAATATACTAGTAGAATATGCCAATTAATAAATGAATATTATTTTTTATTAATTATTTGTTATGCAATAATGATTTCAGTACATCAGATTTAGAATGTGTAGAGTCTAAGAGAGACATAGTCGGTGTAGATTCTGAATCCGACATGTTAGTAGACCAAAGAAAGAAAAAGAAGAGGAAGCATAAACATCATAAACATAAGAAAGATAAATTAATTGAGAGAGAAGATGGAAGGATAGAGCGTCAAGAACGGTGTGTACAATACATAATTGTACTATATTATTTTCCTATGTTATTTAACTTAGTTTCCATACCTAATTCTCACTTTAATATCATTAAATACATTTTAGAAAAAGGCACAAGAAACATAAACGACCTAAAAAAGAAAGAGAAGTTGAAAATGGATCAGTAGATGATAAAACAACCCGCACTATTCAGAAAGATGTAGGTGTAAATGGCAAAGTAAAAAATTCTTTATTGGAAGTGGTTTCCACTGAAGAAAGTGAGGATGAGAAATTAGTAGACTTAGATTCAGATGAAGTAGATTGTACAATCATTGAAGATGATATTGACCTGGAAGAATTAATGAAACAAAAGGTAGAATTCCTTATTCTATAGCATTTTACTAAAGAAAAAATATATATAAAAATTATCACATTTTAATATTTGCACAGGAACGCTTACAAGCATGTTTAGTTCAGTATCTCTCGGATGAATCTGAGAAGGAGGATAAAGAACCAGATCAAGGTGAAATAAAAGCTACTGAAACACCTGATGTTATACTTGTAGAGGATGATAGTGAAAATGACAATATACCCCCTAAAAAGCGAACTAGAAGTAAGTCTGGCAGTAGAGAACGCAAAAAAGTAGCAAAACCTGAAAGACGTGTAGTGGTAGATATGAGTAGGGATCGTAGGAGTCGAGAGGAACATAAAGATAAGAGGAGAGAATCAGATAGGAGAAGAGAAGACAAAATCCGTACTAAAGAAGAGGCTAGGAGAGAAGATAATAGAAAAGATGATAGGCAAGTAAGGAAAACGAATGATAGACACAGGGAAGACTCCCGAAAGGAAGATAGTAAGAGACGTCCGGAAGATGACAAACGTAAAGATTCCATTAAAAGAGATGAATCGCGTAAAAGAGAACAAGATAGAAGGTATATTGAATTTAACATTCAAAATTTGGGAACAACATTTTAATAAACGTTTAATTACAGGGAAGAAGAACGAAGACGAGAATCAGATCATCATAATTCCAGACCCCGTAATGAATACAAATCACTAGATAAGAACGATAAATCTAGACGAGATAGTCGCGATAGATTAGAAAGCAGAGAACGACAAAATAGCCGAGACCGACATGTAAGTCGCGACAGACATGTTAGTCGGGATCGGCATGTCAGTCGAGATCGTCATGTTAGTCGGGACCGGCACTTGAGTCGCGATCGACATATCAGTCGAGACAGACACCCTAGCCGGGATCGTCATGCCAGCAGAGATCGACCGGCTAGTCGTGACCGCCGTAGTCGAGATAGGCCTTCCAGCAGAGAGCGACATAGTCGTGATAAGAGAGACAGTAGAGAGCGTCATACTAGTCGAGATCGACATAGGGATAATAGAAATAGTCGCGATCGTAACGATATGATGCGAGATCGGCGAGATAGTCGAAATCGCGACAGAATTAGAGAGCGTTCAAGAAGTACAAGAAGATCTCGTAGTCCTATTAGGAGTAGACTGGATAGAGATCGAAATGATCGATACAAACGTTCTAGGTCAATGTCCCGAAGTAGAAGGGATAGAGACAAACATGGTAGAGATCATGATAGAGACAGAGAGAAAAATGGTAAGAGGGAACGTAGTGATAAGTTCAAAGACTCTCTGTCAGAAGGTCTCAAAGCAGAACGTTCAGATAGTTCAAGTGAAGAAGATATCAAGGATATTGATATTGAAGAAGAAGAAGATGAAGAAGCTATTATTGAACGTAGAAGAAAACAAAGAGAAGAACTTCTGAAGGTATGTTGATTCTACCGTAATTAAATCTTCGTGTAGTATTGTAGAATAATACTTCAAAATTTATATTTTTATTCAGAGGTTAGGTGGACCAAATGAAGATTCAAATATGTCGGCTGATATAAACACCGTTCCTGCGACTCCACCATCGGAAAGTCAATCAAATGTGTCACAGAAGTCGATAGAAATTCCATCTAATAATAACGAATCCACATCGGAGAGTCACACCCCACCACTGCCCGAGAAGCCAAAGTCACCGCAAATTAAGAAGAGAAAATCCAGATTCGAAGACGCTCCACCAGAAGAGGCTGACAAAAATGAAGACATAAAACCAACGGAAAAGATTAAACTAGAGGAGAAACAAAATCCAAAAAAGGCGAACGAGTGGGACATGTTTGCCGAAGCAGATAATATTGGCGATTTTAATGTACGTTCATAATTGTTTACTTCTTTGCCTTTCAGGTTTATTTTATACATAACTATTTTTTACAGAGTCCCACTGTGGAAGGAAAACGTCAAGGTGGACCAGATAATCCAAGTTTAACAGACAACTGGGATGATGCAGAAGGATATTATCGGTAAAATATTATATGCTTTTTCTAGTACTTCACTTTCAATGTAATTTAATTTTCTTTTTTTTTTCTTTTTTTTTCATTTAAAACAAACTTATTATTATTTCCAGAGTACGTGTAGGTGAAACATTAGATTCTCGATACGTTGTTTATGGATACACTGGTCAAGGCGTATTTAGTAATGTTGTAAGGGCTAGAGATACTGCTAGAGGTAACTTGGATGTTGCTGTAAAAATAATAAGGAACAATGAAATAATGTAAGTATTCCATGTACTATAATATTTTTAAATGTTAAAAATTATTAACGCGTTTATTTTCTTTTTCTCTTTATAGGCACAGAACTGGCCTTAAAGAGTTAGAAATTCTTAGAAAACTTAATGATGCAGATCCAGAAGACAGATTTCACTGTTTACGACTTTTTAGGCATTTTTTTCATAAAAATCATTTGTGCATGGTATTTGAACCTTTAGCTATGAATTTAAGAGAGGTAAGTTGTATAAGTGTTCGCTATACATCAATTATGTAAATTATAGTTTACTACATGAAACGATTATTCAGGTTTTAAAAAAATATGGGAAAGATGTTGGTTTACATGTTAAAGCGGTAAGATCGTATACGCAGCAACTTTTCCTTGCTCTCAAGTTATTAAAACGTGCAAATATTCTGCATGCTGACATCAAACCGGATAACATTCTAGTCAGTGAAAGCAAGCTAGTACTGAAACTCTGCGATTTTGGCTCAGCGTCCCATGCTCATGAGAATGAGATAACACCATACTTGGTATCAAGATTTTATCGAGCACCAGAAATTAGTAAGTGTCACATGTATAATTATTAAAAAAATATTTATTCGTTAGATTGAACGATTATACTAATCTCTTGAGTTATTAATCGTTTTCTCGTATTCTAATTACGTTCAATAAAACTCAGCTGGCATTGGAACTCGAGAGATTAATTTGTTTACTCCTCACTCTTCTACTTTAAACCAGCTTTTAATAGCCGTGCGATAGTATTCCTTTTAATACATGGTGTAAACGATTCAAAAATACTATACGTGCTAGATACGAACAGACAATTTAGTAGCGACTACATACGTTCATTAGCCGCATTTGTTTTTCGAAACGATAACGAAAATTCTATGTGACAACTCTGATACATTGATCGAACCTAGATGGGGGAGATCTCCACTGTCATAGAGATTTAGTAACAATTATCACGTACCGTGTAAGTAACATTGACGTTTTCTAGTTCTTGGTATACCGTATGATTTCGGCATTGACATGTGGTCTGTGGGATGCACCATATACGAATTGTACACGGGGAAAATAATGTTCTCGGGCAAAACAAACAACCAAATGTTGAAATTCTTCATGGACCTAAAAGGCAAAATGCCTAATAAGTTGATTAGGAAAGGCACATTCAAGGACGAACATTTTGACTCTAACTGCAATTTCCTGTATCATGAAGTTGATAAGGTCACGGAGCGGGTAAGTTGTCTTTCTACTGTTCTTTTCGTCCTTGTTTTATTGCCGTATGGTAAGTGTTCTGACGATTACGTGCACGTATAAATAAACATGATCGATGATAAAATCGCTAATACGTATATTTTTAGGAAAAAGTTGTAGTCATGTCTACATTACCCGCCACACGTGATCTAGGCGGTGAACTGGGTGGAAATTCTTTGCCACCAGAACAAAGTCGCAAAGTTGGACAGCTGAAAGACCTTTTGGAGCGTACATTGATGTTGGATGCAGGAAAGAGAATCACTGTGAACCACGCCCTGGCGCATCCCTTTATACAAGAAAAGATCTAGGTAACCCTGTCCGGGGTCCTTCCACATCGGAGAATTCATTGACGTAACTTTGCAAAACATTGTTTGGAACGGCACCGCTAACGATTCGTTGTATACCATAAAAGCATTACTAACATGATGCGGTGTCTCCTTATATCGAATGTCCTGTATCCGTTTTAGCAGAAAGAGGCGGTGCAAAATTTCACGTTTCACTCGCTCCGTCTTGAGTAAAAACAGGAGAATATTTTTAAACACATAACAAGAGGAACTCAAAATTATTTGAATCAATCATATGACATTGTACTCTATCAATCTGAATCATATTATTTAATTAATGATAACTATTGCAGGTCAATAGAGTGCAATATTTTTATATTAAAATTAATAACCACTACGAACGATGAATAAAAATGTTGGAGTTCACCATTGATGCATTTATCGACGATCATAAAAACAACACATATTTGTACTCGACTCGGAACAATGTAGTGTATCACAGGGTGTAAAAATATCTTTTTCGTGTAAATTTTTTTTTTTTTAAATCGAATCCTCTTAGATTTGGTTTATTTCTTCTCTTTCTTTGTGCACAGCAGCGATAAAATAATAAAAACCAACACGATGAATACTAGAAGAAGAGGCATGCCGAATATACGTGGTTAATCAATAACTTCCGTGGACGAAAATGAAAACTGGGAAAAGTGACCGCCTCTTTCAGCATGAACTGGCCATCGATACTTAGCATAATGGTGGTACATAGTATTTTTCTTTTTCTCAATCTTTCGAATTTCATCGCGCAATTTCCTTACGAATAATAACTCGTAATAAATTATTATATCATAAATTGAGGATGGTGCGTTACATTCGTGACGGAGGATTCCGTGTTTGCGAAATTGTAAAAATTTTATGAATTTGATCGTGTGGTTCACGAACACAAAACAATTTTTTTGTTCTTTGCCGTCGCGTATGCATGCACGGCATGGAAGTCTAGTAACAAGGAGACTTGTACTGATGAGGAAGAAACAAATTGTATAGTAAGTAGGTTATTGAAATAAAACGACACATGCTTATCAGAATGAGAAACAAGCCCTGTATTTTATATTTTCAGTCTTAATCACGCGCTACTCTCGTGCAAGGTTATAGAAGCACGTGTACGCAACGTATTTCCGTAAATAATTATATACATACATATAAAAGAAAAACAAGTACTAATTGTAATCTGTTTTTTATCTAGTAAGGAAACGTTAGGTAAACAAAACGTGTAATTGCAGGAAATGCTGAAAAATTAAGTTATTATGTTAATACTCGATTATTGTCGATTGTTAGTATTACGAATAATCGTTTTCACATCTGACAACTTGCATTTATTTAGATATCAATGTAAAGATACATGAGAAAATAATAATGTATATATTTGCACTGAGAAATAGAAATTTCGAATTGCATTACATAAAACGAAAGATTATTTTAATACTTAACATTAACATATAGTCACATAGAAATATAAAACAGAATTTATATTTCATCTTAATAGACACATCACAGTAGCTTACGATTTTGTATCGTTAGCTTTGTAACATTTTCTTTTCGCCCTTTATTTAATTTTGCGTTCTTTATAATTTGTAAGATACGACAGAACGTCAATGCTGTTTGAATGGTTCATGGCATATGCATTTTTTACGTGGCAATATTGTACGAGACTGCTTATGTTTCAGATATGAGTCTTCGATACAAAGCATCGTTAAGTGCGGGTGGACCTTTCGTGGGCTTTTAACGCCGATCCCGTTGCAAGGTATTCATGGGGGACAGCCTTATGGGATATTTAGCATATCCGTTTCTCGTTAAACGACATTATCTTGCATATCAAAACCTGCATTATTGCATCGTAAAACAAAATCAAGTCGTTATAACGATCATCCTTGCTCTGTTCTCCTTGGAGGCAGATAAAATTTGTTTTACACATACTTAGATCGTTATGCATAACTTTAACATACAATTGCCAAATTATATTTCCAAAGATAAAAGAAAAACAAAGCTAGATATTGAAATTTTATTATTTCCTTATTATTTTACGTAAAGCATGAACATTAGTACTTTTTAGCAATCTGAGGGATTGAAAAAAATGCTTTATTAAATTAAAATAATAAAAAGGGGGAGCTAGATGTTTCGGGCACATTTCAATACAGAAATAAAATGAATACACAAAAATTCAGAGTGGCTTATAGTTTTCTAATTGGCTATTTGGTAATGTTTCACTTGTAGCCCTCCCTGTGAGGAGGGGAGGCAAAGGAAGAGATGAAATCAGTTGGTGGAAAACATCATGAAGGAATACGGGGTGAGATCCTCGCGGCAGCAGCTTGACAACTGTATAAAAATGATGCCTAACGCAAAAAGGATCGCCAAATATTTAATATAGATTTATATCAACAGGAAGGTTTATCTTAAAATTTCGTTCAAATTAATAAAACCGTAAGTATGTGAACAGGTAAGGTATATAAGTATACGAGGTACAAATTATTCTTAAATTTTTTGAAATATTAATTTGTATGGAATTTATTATCGCGTAAGTATAGGTAACACTAAAGGGAACATGATACTAATATTTATGGCATTCAGTTTTCAGATCACTAAAGCGAAAAATCTTTGCAAATAACACAATTTCAGCGTGTGACAAATGAAATTTATAAAAGTAATGTAAGGTGGGAATAATCATCGAAATAAAATTACGCATTTATATAATGGGACAATTAAATTTATTTCACATCACATTTCAATAAAGAACATTACATTTGCGTCCATATATCTCTGATTTCAATATTGTTGCTAATTATTTGTCTAATATGCGTGTACTTTATATTAAATTTAAACACTCATGTACGTGACTAATAAATAGGTATATTTCTTAAACATTCATATCTGTTTCAATTAATAAACCTTAAATACACACGAAAACAACAAGAACGTAATAAACTGCGCGATTACAATTGGAATGTAATCTCATTGAAAAAAAGGTCCAAGTACATAATACAAAATGTTCTGTACATCAAACATGTACATAAATTCACGTGTACCACAAAGCCTCAATTTGAACTTATCTCTTTGTGTTCTTTTCTTAATACTTTAATACTTTTAATCACGCTCGGGGTAATACTGAACTAATACTATAGCTAATTCCTGTGCTAACTCTGATGTTGATGCACATAAAGCTCTTCTGCTCATCAAGTCGAATGACCCACCTAAAATGAAAACACATTAAAAAAACAAAATTTTTAATTATAGTTAATTAACATTATTCGAAGTAATATTAAATATTAGAAAAAAGAATATTTTCGAAGCTTACAGTTGAAATTTATTAACCGTAAAATAAGTTACCTGCTGGATCTATGCATACGCCACCAGCTTCTCTTACAATAATATCCCCAGCTGCGACATCCCAAGCGTGAATACCAAATTCAAAAGAAACATCCGCTCCACCGAGCGCAACCATACACATGTTCAAAGCTGCAGATCCCAAAGACCGTATTCTAGAGAAATATAATATAGCATGTTAAATATAACAACCTATGTATCTAACAAAATAAAAATATGTTTAGGCAATATATTTTACCCATGAACTTGTGAAATAAGATTATTTGCATTTTCCAGTACAACTTTCATTTTCTCTGGATCTCTACTTGTACCCATTTCCATCATTACAAGAGCTTTGCGTAACTCTAGAAAGAAATGAATTCAACGTAAAAAAAATTAATTCCAAAACAAACAAAGCAATTGAAAAAAATCTGATTTTTACAAACAAAAATTAATTACCTTTCTCTCCAGAAACAGAAATAGGAGCTCCATTTAAAAATGCACCCTGACCCCTACGGGCACTGAAGAGTTGCTCCAAAATCGGATTGTAAACAACACCAATTTCAGTGACCTTGTTAATAACCAATGCGATCGATATACAAGTATGGGGCAGAGTATGCACGAAGTTCATCGTACCATCGATCGGATCAATGATCCATGTTGGCGCGTCCGTAAGTTCCACTTTATTTCCAAGTGAACTACCTTCTTCTCCGATAAATCTGCAAAAAATGATTTTTCTCCAATAAACACTCAGTACATTTACTATCGAAACATTTCATTATGAACGTCGTAACCAATCACAAAACTTATACGAAAGTTTTATTTCTGTGTCACTTTTTTTTTTTAACTAAGCAACTGTTTCATTTTAATCCCTAATAGAAAATTATACAATATTTCATCAAATAAAATTTTTCTCCTGGTACTCTACAAAAGACAAAGAAATTCTTTGAAATGTGATCTAGGTAGTTCTGGAACAAGTTTACGAGTGGAAAGTTCCATTGACCATCTGACCAGACTCTTCGCGATACACCAAACACGTATAATGTGCTTAAAGGGGATACAGCACGTCAAATGTTTTATTAGCCAAAATTAAATTGCAATCTGTTGAATTCATAACTGTTTCTGGTTCAATGGGGAGTAATAGAAAGAGATTAATCGATACTCTGTGTTAATCGTTCGATACAACCGCTTCTTTCGAGTGGAAGGATTACCGCGCGATAAAATTGGCTAATCTCTTTATCGAGAAATCGCAGATAATGTTATTGATATAAATTATGATACTATTACAACATTTGTTGCAATGAGGCATAATTATGTTCAATTTTCATTGCTGAAAAATTTGAAACGTTTATTAAAAAGATTATTTATCCCTCTTAAGAAATTTACGATATACATATGTTCAAAAAAAAATTGTAATTACTAGATGCAAAGATTACACAAATTTAAGAAATTGAAAAAACAGTTAAAAAAAAATTTCATTAATTTTAGTATTTTTTTGAAATTATAATTCCTCAGAAAAATTTTCAACACTTGTTTAAATAGTTCGAAATATGATACGCTGCGTATGAACAATGACGTATGCTCTTTCTTCCGGTGATACATGAATAAAGCCGGAACTTTAAGTGATTATATATTATGAAACAATATGTAACAAAACGTACTTGTGATCTGGAAATTTGGAAGATATTCCATCGATTAACAATTTCTCGACCTTTTGATCCCATTCGGTGACAAGATCGACTTCGCAGGTTTTCGTCATTGCATCTTTAGGTTGGTTAATTTTTTCCCTTACGATCTACAAATTTCGCCATTGAGATTTAATTACGATTTTCCTCGTATAAATCGTCAGATAGTTTGTAATAACATCGTGATTTCAGCGTTAATAAAACAACAAACATGAATTAGAAAGTGTTATTCGTGAATTTTTACAAATATTGTTTCAAAGTAAAATATTTGTACTATTCTTTATTACTCTCATATTTGTTAATTATTATCACATGTTAGGATTAGTTTAAATTGTTCGACGTTGTAAGCTTAACGTCGACAGCTACAAAGTTTTAATTTCTGAATAAAAAATTTTTAATCATAAATAAAAATATTTTATTTGTATTTTATTAATAA